TTGTTTGACTTCTGCAGGACAAAAATTGATTGAGGTATTTGGTACTATATTTGTGGATTAAATTTAGGAGCTGTACACGAATTGAAGAGTGCAATTTTACCTAACTAACAATAAAATACCAGTTTAGGAAAAAAATATGATGTTAAGAGATTGACAAGCATTTGTATATTTTGAAGTGTATTTATGAACATAAATCTTTTCAAAATGGAGATGTTATTTACATAATTTATGTTCTAGAAAACGCTGCTAGGTTTCAGTATTGACAATATTCAGCATACATCCAACTTGTAATATTCTTCTCGTAATATTACAAGTCTTATTCAACATTGTCAAAATTATTTTCTTCTGAAGATGAATTTATGACTAATTACCATAAAAATTTATAGCATTTTATTCAAAATCTGTATTGTTCATAATTTTAAATGTGTAAATTTGCTTTGGTTACTTCTGAGTGACATGTTGAATATGGAAGATTTGTTACTTGAGAGTGTTGTTGATATGATTTACATGGTAATGTCAGTAATTGGCCTTTCATATCCTGCATTGTCTCCTCACTCACACATGTTCCTACCTCAATGTGGGCCCACCAGCGGCCGAGCGGTAAAATCGCTGAACACTGGTAGTTCGGTCCGAGGTTCGAATCCCGCGAACGGGCTGGCTGCATGGGCGTTCGTGGTTTTCCCCATGTGTAACGTGTATACGAGCCAGTTTCCCTTAGAAAGTCCTCCACGAAAGGCATCCCTCCCCCTTAGGCAGATAGCCCTCATGTGCTTTGCCATAATTAAATACACCAACACCAACCTACCTCAATGTAGCATTGTTAAGCTTCTCATAGCTTATTCCAGCTGTCTTAATAATTGTGCATATCTCTCACTAAATGACAGTGGACACTTATAAACAAGACCAATGCTTTTTTTATTCAAGCCATCATACATGACGCATTGCATTTTTTAAAAGCGTTAACATTTGGACTGCAGCTATGCTACAAGGTCGTTAGATGAACCCACATTTATTGTGATGGACTTGTTGTACAGTGTTTGAAGTATAGGGAAATAATTCTTTTCAAGTAGTTTTGTTAACTCTTAATTGTAGAGGTGAAAGTGTAGATGTCGTGTAATACTTTGTTTTATTTGAATCCAACAAGTATATGAGAGCTACCTACCAAAAAAAGAAAAGTCTTTGTAAAGGATTTTTTTAATAATTTGTTGTATTTGAATCTGACATGTATATGAGAGCTACCTACTAAAAAAAAGTCTTTGTAAAGGATTTTTTCTGGCTCAGATTTACATTAGAAAAAGGAACATCCATGTAGTCAACCCCTTCAGTAGAACTCAGTTGGGATAAAATAACACTTATTCTAAAATGTTAGTAAGAAATAAAAAATAAAATGATTAAATTAAAAAAAATGATAATTGCCTTTTTCTGATAATGAAAGTAAATAAAGATAACGTGCTTTATTGATTATCATCAGCATGCTTTCATATTTCTGATCTTTTATTTGCAGTGAACAGAGTTTTATTGTTACCTAAAAATATTATTTGTTTGAGGTGTAAAAAGGGGGTCTAAATTTGGTCATTGAGGTGGGTCAAAATTCATTCAGTAGGAGATATTAAATGTTATCTGCCAAGAAATTTGCTAGTTCTTTCTTTCTCAAGCACCTCGTTGTTCAAATGACAGATTTATATTACATTCAGATTTCTGAATATCTGCACAATGTAATTAGAAACAGCTTGACTCCAGTACTTCAATCATTAATGAAGTTCCATGGGTTCAGAAGTTGTACTGACTAAATGGGGCATCCTTAGTTTGGCGGAATTGCCATATGTGATAATTTATTACATTTTCTGGTTCAGCATTATGAAATCATTTTACACCCAGTTAATGGTAAGAGCCAGTTATGAGAAAGGCATTTAATAAATTAATATCTTTTTTCTTATAGAAATTCTGTAGTTTTTTCCTCATTATTAGCTAGTAAGTGATATAAAATATGCTATATTTAAACATAGTTTTTTATTTTTACTGTTCGTTATTTTTTATTAAAAATTAGGAGATTGAAATCTGTTGCTCTGCAAAATTTTAAATTTGATGCTAAAAAATTAAGTGTTAAATTACAAAAATTTGGTTTCTCTAGCAATTTTTACTCCTTCTGTTGATTTACTGATTCATATGTGTTTGAATTGTGAAATTGCCAAATAACAGAAATTTTAGTCATTCATAATATAGCCAGATTTATCCAATTTATGTAAATTTCATTATCCATAAAAATCATAGAAACTTAAAAACCTGTGTAAAACTAGATGATTTGAATAATAAAGCTAATATATTACCGATATATATTTAATATACATCCATAAAGGTCAAAAGAACAAATCTGTTGAATTCGTTAGCATGTCAAACTGCTATTTCAGCACTGGTTTTTAACATTTTAAGTAATTTAAGTATTTATGATGAATATTTGATTTCAAAACAATTTTATTGTATGTCTATAATTAGTTTGTGAAATCTAATACTACTGTTTGAAAGTGCTTTTTTTAGTTTTATTAGCTGAATAATTTGTAAGCTGAATACTAATATTAGATTTAATTTTCATATGCTTCTGTATGTACATTAATAAATATTTCTTAATTTTCCTTGCTTCATTTTTCTAATATATTGTTAAGTCATCATCGAGATTATATATATTGAGGATGGCTAACCTATCAATTGCTATACACTTTTACAAATTTGCCATTCCCTAATAGATTACATAGCTGTCAACTCTTTCGGTTTGGAAGGCTCAGTTTTTCATTGCATTTCTGGGTAGTTCACCAAGTCTCAATTTTTAACCTTTACGGAGGAAAATGTTTCCCAGCAGCAAATGAAATTTATTGAAACTTAAAATGTACTAATTCCGTTCCCACCCTTAATGATTTTTAATATAATTTTTCTCATTAAATGTTAATTTGAATTGCCTTAATTTATTTTAGATATTTGTAGAATTTTGTATGAAGATTAAGGCAATGTTTGGTCTGTTAATATTCGTACTTAATTTTGTTTTACACTGATATATGGTACAAAGTTTATCCACACAATAGTAAGTACGTTAATTATGAATTTTTATTTTCAATGTCTTAAAAGTGCTTTGATTAATAAAAACTTTCATGTCCCACTCAGATTAAAAGATGTCCACTCTTCTTCCACTTCTTCCCACTCGTCTCAGATTAAATGTGAAAGAAAATTACAAAGTGAAATCAGAGAAAAAGTATACCATTTAAAGAATTTAACTAAATATGAATGTATTTTACATCAGAATCAGATTATAAATAGTGCCCTAAATCATGCCTCATTTAATTTAAGCTAGTTTGGAAAATTTTTAAAATAGCGTTGCTGTTGAGCGCGAAAACCTAGCAGCTATGTCATTGTAAAATTGTTCTTTTATATTTTTTCATGCATTAGATTGACATATTGTTCATAAAAACAAAGTAACTGGTGTTCATGAAAATTTGAGCAGCCCTATCTTTTATTATACAGTATGTGCATAAAGGAATATCCCAGTTATGAATTTGAATAGTATCAGCTGTAAGCATTGTAAAGTGTTGGTTCAAGGTCACAATTAAAGAGAGCTCAAACATTTTTAGATGAGAGCATGTGCAAGTATTATTTATTTATTTATTTATTTTGTTGTTTTCTCGCTTTACAGCACAGCGTAAGCAAACGGCTACTCCTGAGCGTAAAGCGTTTTGTGTTATGTAATTTGCTAAAAGTCAAAATGTAATTTCTGTTAAACATGCGTTTCATTGAAAGTTTAATTTAAATCTCCCATGTGGCAAAAACATCCGCTGATGGTGCAGGCAATTCGAAACGACCGGATGTGCTGGTAAAGGAGAAAGCACAGGACGACCAAACGTGTTTGTAGAGAAGGTTCAGCATGTCAGAGCATCTTATCTTCGTAGTCCTAAGAAATCTGTTCGAAAATCAAGTCTTAAACTTCAGTTGCCAAAGATGACAGTTTGGAAGGTTTTAAGAGAACGTTTACACATACATCCATACCGCTTACAATTGGTATACAATTTAAAGCCAGATGAGTTATCTGTACGTTTTAACTTTGCGAGTGAAGTGTTTGAGCGGGAAGACAACTTTCTTGATCATGTGTTCAGTGATGAGTCACTGAAATAATAATAAATATTTTTCACCTGAGTGAGAGGGAAAGTATCCATAATGTTTATATCTGGTGTGTTTGGGGGGGGGAGCAGAGTGTTGTCATGAACTTGTAGAACACCAAAGAGATTCCCCCAAATTAAACCTTTTCTTCGCTGTGTCCGGAAGTCACAAGTGTACGGACCATTTTGTTTAGCTGAAGCTACCGTAAAAGGGGTGGCTTATCTGCTTATATTACAAGAATGACACTTTCCCCGATTAATTGAGGGTGAATCTGTAAACTTTATTTGGCAACAAGATGGAACCTCTTTCCATAGGAATCTCTTTGTACGAGAATGGTTGAACGTCGAAATCCCTGACCGTTAGATTTTCTTTCTCGTTCTCCTGACCTAATGCCATGCAATTTTTTCCTTTGGGGCTTTATGAAACATCGTGCCTACGTTCTGTCGCAACCTAATGAATTGCCAGAGTTGAAATAAAGAATAATGAAGAGGCTTTTGTTTGCATCATTCCAGACTTATCAACCAAAGCGTGGGAAGAATTGGACTAAAGGATGGAAGTATGCCGTATAACTAAAGGTACACGTATTAGACATTTGTAAAAAAAAACTAGGTTACTTTCTTTACCTTCAGTTTGGTGTATGATTATGATTTCTTTACCTTCAGATTGGTGTATGATATGTTTGGTGTATAGTAAATAGTTTAAATTAAACTGTTATAATATAACATTGGAACTTGGACATTCTTTTATGGGACACACTGTATAAATTCATATTTGTAAATATATGCTTGTTACTAACTAGTCATAGATGATGAAGAAATCTATGATGATTTAAAAATTTTTTTCATAATTAAAATTTTCAGAAACGAGAAGGTTGTGGAAGGACCTTAAGTTGGAGGTATGTCTGGAAAACCTATTGGCTTTACCATGAAGGTGAAAAACTGACTCAAGATGACAAACCACTCAAAGACTATCAGATTAAGAATAATTCCGAATTATCATTTGTAAAAAGATTAAGAAATAAATAATTTTTACATATTTGTTTGCCACTTGTTTGTTACTTTTACGTGTTGTTGGTAATTATATTGCATCGATCTGAGTGTAAGATGGTTTTTCTTTAAAAATTAAATATATTAGAAAATGTATTTATTAAGGCAATTTATTATTGAACTCTTAAATTTTATGTTCAAGTCTTAGTTTTACCATCCAAGGAGGTATTAAGACCATATTTCTCTCTTGCTTATAACATGAAGCTATATTTACTTCCTTTTTCTTCAAAACAGAGCTTGTAAGTTTCGACCTGAGTGATTAAAACTGGTGCAGCAGAAAACGTATTTCCACTTTTATGACCTAACATAAAAGTGAAAGTAACTGCCATTCCACTTTTATATTAAAAACATAGCAGTGGAACTAATTATCAGAAACTTCTAAATTTTACTGTAAACAAAAAATTTACAATAACTAGTACGAAACCCCCAAAATTTTTATATTAAAAATTTACTGTAATGCCGAGAAATATATTAAAGTTCAGCCATAACATTTATAGTATATAAAGGTCGTATAGCAGCAGAATACTTGACTCAAGCTCTGCCTGATATCTGCCGTAAAGTTGTTTATAACAGAAAAGCAGTTTCACTGCTCAATCCAAAGAAACTAAAGAATTTCGTAATTCATTATTTATATATGAAAATGTAGAAAATATTCTTTGAAATGTAGCATAATTTATCTCTGTATTTATCCATTTCGAAAGCACAATTTGTTTCATTCAAGGAACTACATTTATTTTGTTCTTTAAAGTAATGTAAATTAAGAAAACTGAAATATTATTATTTTGATCTTTCTTCGTTTCTACACTGGATTTTGTCAAAATATAAAAAGTGAGTGTTTATTTTGATATCCAAAGTCTGTCAATACTTTTATATTAAAGACAAAAAGGTCATAAAGGACATTTGTAGTGCGTTTAATTTTCTATTGTGAATAATTTATCTGAGAAATACATAACTTGTTTTACTCTTCCCCCCTTTCAGTAAGTTTTTTTGTGATTTTTTTCTGTAAATTTTGAATGAATATTTTGTTGAAAATGAAGTAATGTATTTCCCGTCCTCTGACATATTTAGCGGAGTTCTTGATATTATGTGTAATAGCTGAAACATTAATATTACAAATCCCGTGCAAGTACAATGAGTATTTTCATATTTCATATTGAATTTTGATAGTTGAAAATATTTATTAAAAACGCATTTTAAAAATTGTATATGGACATATTAATAAAATTCTAAATATGGTTTGGGAATTCTTGTGCAAGCTTTTAAGGTTTCTATTCCTTACCATATTCTTTACCAAAATTACATTTCACGTGTTTTTTTTCATGCTGGACAGTGCTTATGGCGAAAAGCGCAAGAACTGAATTATGCGGAAGCTTATGTAAGTAATGAAAATGTGCGTGTTTATATAAAATTGTTGTTAACGTTGAGTTTTGTTTCAGGACATGATGTTATCAGAGTATTTGAAGAATTATTTGAAAATTGCCCAAACGAACTAGACCCCATTATCAATTACTGGGAAGATACGTATATACGACGAGTAAGATGCAACCGTCGAGCAAAACCACGATTTACAATACATGTGTGGAATATTTGAGCGCCATGGTGGCCAAGAAACCGATCCACCGCGACCAATCTATTAACTTCCAAACTTTCTGCTTAGGTAAGCACGCACAGCATTTGCGAAATGTGCAGGAGCGCCGTCATGCTGGAACCACATTCGCCGAATAATACCATCAGGAACCTCGTTCAGAAGATCCGGTTACATAGTCTGAAGAAATGTCAGGTACTTACGTCTTCAAAAGAAACGTCCAAACGAGACGGTAGTAAATACGGGGCCAACAATCAGTCACCGACAATCTCAGTCCATACATTGACAGGTACCTAACGTCTTCAAAAGAAACGTCCAAACGGGATGGTAGTAAATACGGGCCCAATAATCAGTCATCGACAATCTCAGTCCATACATTGACAGCAAAACGTTGTTGCGCAGCTCCGCGTCTTGTACCGTGTGGGTTCTGATGAGCCCACATATGCAAACTGTGTGTATTGAAGACACCCTCTCGAGCGAAAAACGCTTTATCGGTGAAAAGAACAAAGGTTGGGAAATTGGGATCAATGGCTGTTCTCTGTATGAACCACTGACAAAAAATAACACGCTTGGGATGGTCGTCTACTGCCAGTAATTGCATTCTTTGCAAATTAAACGGATGTAACCCTTCATCGTGTAATATCGTGCTTGCGAAATTTCAAACTAGCCTAGCCTTACCTCGTGTGCTAGCATCAGGCTGTTCGTCGATTTCCTGTAGGACAGCTTCCTCTACTGCTAATGCCCATGCCGATCGGTGCGTTCCTCGATTAACATTACTAGCAGCAACTGTTTCACACATTTGTCGATGAATAAGTGAAAACATATGATGCTGTGGCACACAGCGGTTGGGAAGCGCGCTGCATACAATTGGCTGGCTCGAAGATATTTTCCTCCTGCCGCACCGTAAGTTACATGCAAATCTGCAAAATCGTTCCATGTATACCAGTTCATGTTACTTCTGCAAAGTCAAATAGGAGAATGACGACTGACTGCACGCGTCAAACAGCTGTGCTTATGTATGAAAGTTGTGTACACACAGAACCCTCTACACCACCATGCGTTCGTCTGCGCCCATGCTATCTTCTTCTTTTCCTATTCCCCAACTCCCCACCAAATATTGATGATGAATTCTGAATCACCCTGTATAACTAGGCTTAGCTTTTACTTTTGGGCTATTTTGTCGAGATTATCTTGTCGGCGCCATTTAGGTTTCGCTGTTTAGTCGTGGGCTATTTTGACGGGTACCTTTCTAAATGTTATCAATCGTGCTGGTTTTACACTTAGAAAGAGCTCTTGTCAAGAGACCGAAAGCACATTAGACCGTCCATACATAAAATATCAGGGAACGTCGCAGGAATAGTTGAAAACGTCTTTATGCAATATCTATACCAGTCTTCATTTTTTCAAGCAATTCTGTAGTACTTTTCGAAGTATGACTTGTTGCTTTGTCTTGAAGCAGTTTAAAGTCACTGGGGTCAAGAAATGGAATGTCTGCTGTAAATATTGGACGTAAAACGTTTTCTTGATAGTGCGTTGAATTGATTTTTACCCCCTATGTTCTTATTTTTAATTTCCCATTGTAAGAGAAGTCTGCGACAATCATAAACCTTACTGAAATTTTCTTTGCGTTGACCGAAGCAGATCTGTGCATTTTTGTCTCTGTTTTCGATAATAAATAGACCTTTTTTTTATTGTAGTCATTTATGTAAACTTGTGCTTCATCAACGGCCGCAATGTATTTTCATTTATCTCCTAAATAGTTTACATAGAGGATTCTATGCATTGTTCTCGGTTAAGGCATGTGCGTCGGCTAAAGCTGGTGAACATTATGTTTTTTAGCTTTTTTAAGTTGCAAATCATGATTTATTATTTTATTTAGTGTTGCTACAGATGTATTTAAAGACTACAATTGATTTCTGGATTAGCGGATTATTTCTTGCTACCAACGACTTTACTTTAGAAACAGTACGTACCTTTTTCGGGTGTTCGTATGGAGTCGTCTTCGCATGCAGAAGTAATGATTGACGGTTTTCCTCTTTCCCATTTTGGAAATTTCAGCAAAGGGACCCTGCACCTGATGGTTTGGGCAGCGTTGGGTACACGATACGCGCATCTCTAGTTCGGATCGACGGTAATTTGAACGCAGATCGGTACATTTCTGAAATCTTACGCTCAGTAGTTATGCCCTGTCTCCGAGGCCTGCCAAACGCCATCTTCCAACAAGATAATGCAAGATCACATGCTGTACGTCGTGTTCTGACCTTCCTCGATATACAGTATTGTGTGTGTATGTGTGAGTATGGCAAAACCTCGAGGGCTATCTGCCTAAGGGGAGGGATGCCTTCGTGGAGGACTTTAAGGAAACTTGGTCTTATACACCTACACATGGGGAAACACGAAAAACGCCATGCAGCCAGTCGGTTTGCGGGATTCGAACCTCGGACCGAACTACCAGTGTTCAGCGACTTTAACGCTCGGCCGCTGGTGGGCCCCTCGATATACAGAGTGTTTGATTGCTGCCCTGGCCTGCACGGTCTCCAGATCTATCCCCCCTTGAAAACATCTGGTCATGGGTTGCTGGGAGAGTGGCCAGCCATCCCTCTCCAGTTAATACGGTTGATGAAGTGCGGCATAGACTTGAAGCAGCATGTAATGCGTTGCCCGTTTCTGTCATCGAAGCCCAGTTCAACTCCATGCCTAACCGGGTTCGCTACCAGGGGTGGTTTGAAAGTCCTCCACGAAGGCATCTCTCCCTTTAGGCAGATAGCCCTCGTGTGCCTTGCCACGATTGAATAATCCAATCTGCTAACAGGGGTGGTAGCTGTTTCTGCTGATTTTTCACTCCTGTAAACCCAAAAACTGATTACAAATTTAATCATTTTGTCTTCATGCTATACTGTTTACGTACAGTCAATATCTTTTTCGTATTTGCTTTCCTTTATGGTGTTGCAATTTTAATGTCCAGCGGTGAATTTGTGCTATTTGTTTGTTATTTTCGTTTTTGTGTATTATTTTATTGGTTTTATTAATTTATGTATATTTTTATTATTTTTTATTTATTTTTATGTTATAGTTTTTATTTATTTTTCGCAACTTCATATGTGTTTATTGTATAATTTTGTACAATGTTTGACTTATGGCTACTATTATGTTTGTATTATTGTATTAATTCATATATTATTATACATCTTTTTAATTCCGAGTTTTTTTTTTTTTTTTTTTTTTTTTTTTTTTTTGTGTGTGTGTGTTGGAATTCTGAAATTATCTTAGAGAACCAGGGATTGAACCAATGGTGTATCGGACCTTGGCGATATTAAGCAGTTTCTTGCCTGTTTGGCGACATACGTAAAATCACACGAAAACATATTTTTGACACCCAAGAATTGATTTTTCTTGAAGATTCG